CATCTGCAGGCGCGCGGCGACGCCGGCGCAGGGCTTGCCGCCCCCTCACCTCTTCCCTGTCCTCGGGGCCCATCTCTGCACGACATGTGAGTGATCGCCGGCCACGAGGCGCGGCGGATGGCCTGCGAGTGGCGAGGCAGGGAGGGCCAAGAGGGTGTGGGAGGTTGGTTATTGGGGTGACATGGGCATGTGGGCCCCGCTGCGACACAGCAGGGGCTGGCGCTCCCGCCGCTACATCTTTCATGTCCATCTCAGCCACTGGAGCGGGGCTTGGGGGCCAGGAGGCAAAGCGGTTGCTTTTGTTGCGGGCGCCCAGGCATTCTGGCACCCCAGGCTCACCGGCGCCTTTGCGGAGCAACCACAACGTGCACCGTCGGTGCACAGCAGTGGGTCGCCATTTCTGCGAGGTCTTGGCACGAGGGGCTGGGCTGGGGTGTCGGGGGCCTCTACGCGACTCTGCACGCGTTCCAACAGTGTACGCGTCTAAGGTGGTGCCGAGCGAGTGTCGAATTGGCTCTGGGAGCGCCCCTTTCGTCCATGCCTCGAGCCACGGGAGCCGGTACAGTAGTATGTACAGCCGCTCAGTGACAGTCGCCATTCGCCCGGCGCAGCCTGAAGCACGCACAGCGAGCCATGGAGCGGCGACAGGCGACCGGTGGCCAGCGGCGGGTGAGCAGCCTGGGCACAGCTGGCTGTCGCAAGCTGGGCACAGGGAGGGGCAGCAGCGTGGGCCCGCTTGCACGCCACATGCTCGGAGGAGCCATGGAGGCCGCTTGCACCCCAGGCCGCTGCGCTGCTAGGCCCCGAGAGGCTCCCACATTCAAGCGCCGCCCACACCCGCCAAGCCCTGCTGGGAGGTCGTGCGCCGCACCCCGGTTGGCAAGTCTTTACCCTCTCCTGCATCGTCACCCCACCCTGGCTATGCAGCTGGAGAACCTTCGCCAGAAGCGCAACGCCCTGAGGACGCGCAGCGAAGACGTCAAGGGCTGGGCGGGCGGCGGCGGCGGCGGCAGCGCGCCGCTCTCTGCACGCCAGCTGGGGCCCGATGCCGCCGTGCTCGCCGCGGCCGCCCGCCGGCGCCAGCAGGCCTACGCGCTGAGCAGCAGCAGCTCCAGCAGCGACTGCGAGGAGGGCCCAGGTGGCGCCAGTGAGGCAGCACCCACCTCGCAGGAGCTGACCGCCAAGCTCTTTGCCAAGCTGGGCATCAAGGGTGGCGGCGGCGGCCGTGCCGTCGGCTTTGACAGCGACAGCAGCTGGGCTAGCAGCCCAGAGCGCAGCGCACGCATCAAGGCGGTCGCGCCAGGCAGCGCCGCGCCGGACGGCAGCAGCGGCAGCTGTGGCGGCGAGGCCTCCCACCTGCATGCCCAGCTGGAGCAGGCGCAGGGCACCATTGCGGCGCTGCAGCAGGAGGTGGCGGCGGCGCGGGTGCAGGCAGACAGCGCCACGCAGCAGCTGCGGGCTGCAGAGAGCTACGCCCAGGACCTGGAGGTGAGCGGTACCACTGCTGGCATGGGCGCTCGGGGCCCCGGCATGTGCTGGGTGCCGGCTGGGTGCCAGCCTGGCGGCAGGCCGGCTCTCTCCGAGAGGACAAGCTGGTGGCCACCCAGCATGATGACCCGCCTGGCTTGCTTTGCCTGACGTGAGGTCCCGCTCGCCGGCGCCGTGAGTGCAGGTGCGGCTGCATGCCGCGGAGCAGGCGCTGGCGGCGGCTGCTGGTGGCGGCGGCGAGGCTGGCGAGTCCCACTCTTCTGCTGCTGCCGCGGCGGCGGCGGCGAGCTCGGCAGAGGCTCAGGAGCTCGCCGCCGCCAACTACCAGCTCCAGGAGGAGGTGGCAGAGCTGGGGAGCCAGCTGGCGGAGGCCGCCACCTGGCAGCAGGAAGTGCACGCCATGCAGGCGCAGCTGGGAGGCATGCAGGCGGCGGTGGCAGACTCCGAGGCTGCCCGCCAGCAGCAGCACGCAGAGCTGGGGGGTCTGCTGCAGCAGCGGGAGCAGCAGCTGCTGGCGGCCACCGCCCGGCTGGCGGCCACCGAGGCGCAGCTGGCGGCGCTGCAGGCTGGCGGCGGCGGCGGCGACCTGGGCGGCGCATACCTGCGCCCGGCAGCCGAGCTGCTGGCCCAGTTTGCTGTGAGCCATGCGCAGCTGACGGCGGCACTGGGCGAGGCGGCGACCCTGCTGGCCTAACTGCCATGGCACGAAGGCCGCCTGACGGCTGCGCCTGCTGCACACTCTGCCCGCCTTGCTGCCCGTATCCTCCCTTGCCGTGTTGCGTGTGTTCTTCCATTAAATCCCTAGTACTGTATTGCCATTGCATGCCGAGCTACAGCTGGCTTGAGAGAGACGAGTCCCAGGGAAACCAAAACATTACGGGGAGGGGATTCGTGGGTTCAATAGGTGCCTATCCCTAGGGCGGCCCGTGAGCAGTCAAAAGGTGGTGGGTGGTGCAGAAGGGGGAGAGGCCCGTGCCAATGTTGCAGGCGGTCCCGGTCAAAAGTAGGTATTGTCTACGTGTGTCCATGTTGCCGGCATGTGCGGCAGTCCCAAAAATACATACAGGTGGTGGTGGGTTTGGTGTTTGGTGACCGATGGGGAGAGAGGCCCATGCATCCCTGGGTTAGTACAAGTTGGAGAGGTAGAAAGCATGAAAGGACGGGAGAGCCCATGTGTGCCCAGTACGTCAAAAGGTGAAAAGGGTTGTTGTGGCCCGCGCTGCCCAGAGGAGTTCAGAAGCCCTGAGAGCTGGGGCCGGGTTTATTGCGTTTCGTTGCGTTGTGTCCGTATGAAAATCCCAAAGGTGTGCCGCTAT